AATTCTAACTCTCTTGACATTGGACATAGGTGGGGCCAAGGGTCAGAGATGTTAAGAGACTGCGGCGGGCCCGGGAGATGGCTCAGTGGAGTAAGCGCTTCCCTGGCAAGCACAAGGGCCTGAGTTCAATCCCCAGTTCCACAAAAAAAAAAAAAAAAAAAAAAAAATTAAAAAAAAAAGAGAGAGAGACTGCGGCAATGTCACCACAATGTCACCCACTCCTGAACCCACATCTTCCTGCCCCAAAGCCCACTGTTAGCAGCACGATTTTCCCTCATTCTTTTCAAATATCCCCGAGGGACCTTTCAGAACCTGTGTGTATGTGCTTCCCCTTGCTGGAGACTATGTTCTCCATGCAGGAGATGTCATCTGAGACTGGGCTTGGAGGAGAGGTGACAAAATGTGACAGTAGCACCACTGGGCCACGCTTTGCCCAGCTGCAGCTTGCTGCAGTAAAAGCAGAGCAGAGCTGACACCGTGTGCCATCTCCACTGTAGGCAGCGGAGACTGGGCTAGGCCCTCCCCCCAGAGAGTGTAAGGAGGACCGGATCTACAGCCTACGGTGGGCCCTGCGAAGGGAGGGCTTCTAATCGTGGGACACAGTGCCCTAGAGGTCGTGAAAGGGATCAGGGGTTCTGATCCCCGGGCCTGCCCCACGGAGCATGCTGAGGTGGTGACTGAGACTGGGCGTGGTGGCATGTGCCTGTAATCCCAGCTTTTGGGAGACTGTAAACAGGTGGATCACTACCTGTCTGATCTTGTAGTGAGACCCTAAACATCCTGTAGACCCTTCCCTAAAAAATACCAAAAAAAAAAAAAAAAAAAAAAAAAAAAAAAAAATGAGGTGGTCTGACTTGAGGACCTGATTGAGGAACTCAGGAGACTATGCTTGGTTGCTCTTGAAGGGGCTGCTCCAGAGCTCAGGGCCTGAGACGGCGCCGCAGGCCTCTCTGCGTTCATTTCCAATGCCTGTGCGCCCCCAGTGGCGAGTACAGCCCACCGCCTCAGGCACGCTCGCCCACGCAGCCATCAGAAGATGACATTCATTCCACTTAATTTTATACCTTTATTAGAAATTTCTAATTAACTTAGAACCAAGAGAGACAAGGAGACACCAAGGACCAACCTTGCCCCTTTTCTTCAGATTAACAATGACCCTCCATCGCAGATTTTTTTTTTTTCTCTAAGAAGAAACAATGAATATTCCAGAAAGTACTGCAAACTTACACGGAAGAAGAACACTTTCGATGATACTGGCAGGGACCTAGGAGTAGAAAAAGAGAATACAAGCCTCACTGCATTTTAAAAAATATTTAACCCTGGCAGAGAGAAGCCGCAGGAGGAATACAAGGCCTCGGGTTCCCAAAGACAAATTAAAGAAACAAAAACAGGGGCAACACTTTTAAAGAGCAGATTACATCCTGGAAATACGATGATAATTAGTCGGTACTTAAATCTATTAATTAGGCTAATTAAGCTGGGACTGTAGGCAGCTCTGGTGAAAGATTTCCTGCTAAGCCATTGCAACATAAAACTCCCCCCAGTTCTGTTCCCACGTTCAGCTCGCTCGGTACGTGCAGATTCCCTTATCGGGAGACCTGAAAGAAGTCATTCGTCTGGAGTCACAGCGCGAGTGTGATTCCTTTACAGGAGGGTTGGTTTGTTTGTTTAGTTAAACACAGCCACTGAGAGCCGAGGACCCTCTACAAATATGCGGTCCCCTGTGGGCCGGCGGTCCCCAGGGCAGGGGTGGCCAGGGGTGCCCACCAAATGCTCTGGTGATCTTTCTGCTCCCCGTAAAGCGTGCGGACGCGGCCTGGGAAACTAGAGCTCTGTGTCCAGAGCACAGCACCGAACCACTGCTGTTCACCCAGCTGGGCCGACCGAGCCCTGGCCGACTGAGAGGGCAGGGGAGAGGTGCCACCCGACGTCGCTGGTGGGGTGGCGCTGCTATCGAGCCAACACGGCGACCTCGCGTCCCTAGCCACCGGCTGGCTGCGAGCCCAAGGCCAGGGTGCTGCACCTGGTTCTGGGGGTGAGCTTTTAGGTGCTCCACATTTAGAGAGCTTAAGAGGGACAAGGGAGTGGAAGCAAGGCGGGGCCCCTAACACGTGGACTAGGGGTTAAAAAGACAGCCAAGCAGGTCCTCCTGCCAGCAGGTGGCACCAAGATTCAAACTGCAACTGGCTGGGTGCTTTTTTTTTTTTTTTTTTTTTTTTTCCCAAACAGATGAACCAATAAGGGAGGGCAGGGCCCTGTCCCCGAGGTCACGACAGATGAACCCTTTGAGGACAGAGCAGTGGTCTCGTGCTTTAAGAGCGAATGTTATTGCCTGTGACTATCTTGGGAGAGCTGTTATTTATTTACTCATTTTTATTTTTTGTATTTAGTATAGGGTCTCACTACACAGATCAGACTTGTGGTGATCCTCCAGTTTTCAGCCTCCCAAGTGCTGGAATTACAGGTGCGCGCCACCACGTCCAGTCTCAGTCTCAGTCTCAGTCTCAGTGCACCCTGTGGGGGGGGGGGCGCCAGGGATCAACCCCGGCCGCTGCGCTGTGCCTAAGCAGCTGAGTTAGTCCGCTGAGCTATCTGCCGGCCCAAGAACTGTTATTCAAAGAACTGAGGCCATAGGGTTGTGAGGCAGGGTGCAGAGACATTAAGGTGAGGGTGACAGGAGGCCTTTGGCGTGGACAGTGTAGGGCAGTGATAACCCCAGGAATCGATTTCTGAGGTCAAAGGACGGAATCCAATTGTCAGCGGAAGGAAGAGAGTCAGGAGTGGAAGGATCTAATGCTATATTTTTTATTCTAAGAGACTTAACATAGTTTAAAGTTTTTTAAAATATAAAAATAAAGTAGGGCTGGCCAGATAGCTCAGAGGACTAAAGCACCTGTTTTGGAAGAGCGCAGAGGCCGAGGTTCAATCTCCAGTGTGCTGTGCCGGCCCTGCCACAGGGGCACACTGAGACCGCGATTGAGACTGGGCGTGGTGGCACCTGGGAGGCTGAAAACAGGAGAATCACTATGAGTCCGAGCTATGTAGTGAGACCCTGTACACCCTGTAGACCCTGTCCTAAATTCATTTAAAAAATGTATTATTACTGTACATTATTTGGGAAAGAATTTTTTAAGGACAAAATTTAAATTACCTCTCACATTACTATATAAAATAGCAACGGTTAATGATTTGCTACATCTTACAATAACTTTTTCTGTGGTTATTATTTTTAGAACTGAGAATATGTAAGACATACAGTTTTCTATCTTTTTGCAAAAAGGTCAATGATTTACCATTGCATGCATAGGCGTGCATAGTCCTCTTAAAACCACCCTCATGTTGTGAGACTTGCTATTTTCAGTGTGATGCATGATATTTGCTCCTAATTTTTTACTCTTCCCCTAAGACTGTGTGCATAAGACAGGGAACTGCTGCTTCAGAATCCAGGAGAATTTAATGGCTTTTGCTGTAGCATCCAATGGGCTTTCAGAAAGATTAAAATCACAGCCTTCCCAGCCAGGCTTCACTGCTGTGCTCCACTGTTCAGTATTAGCTTCATTCCCATCACTGATTTGAGAGAAAAAAATCGTATCTCTCTGTTGTTTTGATTTTCATAACGTATGCACAAGGGCTCCCGCGTGCATTTCTTGTTTAAAAGCTGTGACTTATTTTTAAGCCTCCTGTTCAAAAGAAGCAATACTGAAGAACACACTGATGAAGAAAGATTATGAAACTGGACTCAGGTTAAGTTCTAGAAACCTGACAGAGGGGTTTAGTCTGGACAAAGTGGAAGAGGCTGCTCATTTAGGATAACCAGAAGTCACGGGAGAAATCCTTCTCCCATCTCAGTGAACCCTTTGAGTCACCTCCTGAAGCCCCAGTTGCCCACACAATTACAGGGGCTCTGGTAAAGCACCAACATGCTAATTTCCCCTGATTCCTCAGATCCATCTCATTGACTTAATCTAACATGTTAGACTTCACCCAAAGGAGAGTGTATATTGGACAAAGAGGCTGAAACTCTTTCCTAAGCATTTCTACTAAAGGTTGAGCAGTACAGGAGTGAGCACACGACTTGCATACCCCACAGTGCCTGGTGATTGACATAAACAATGAATCTCCCTGGCAACACATTGCTTAAAAAAAAAAAAAAAAAAAACACCAAATCCTTGCAGCCATTTTGCTGAGGAGAAAACTGAGGTTCCTATTTTGCTGGGCCAGGAGCCACCTTGCTATTAAATAAAAGACGACCTTGAATCCAGCTCTCTGGTGCCACTGCCACTGCCCCCTCACACCACATGCACCCTTAGCCTGTGTCATTTCCCTTTGATAATCTGTGAGACGATCTGCTATCGTCCTTATTTGATCTTAAGGAGAGCGAAGTCATGACAATACAGTAATGAGACATTGTCTCAGCAGAAGACTTTCACACCTTCACGGACTGACGCCTGCGATGATGAGACCAGGGGAAAAGAAGCCGAACTCTTCAAGCAATGCTTCCGATCACCACTCTTGCCAGTCATCCCAATTCCCTTCCTTCCCCAGCCCCCTAATCACGAATTCTCTCCCTTCCCCACCTTCTAGAAGTAAGCTCGCCCCACCTCCCCTATTCCTTACCAAACTCGGATCCCACGTCCCACCCTGCAGCCAGCACCCCGCGACTCCCTCAGTCTTTCTCCACCACCCTACCTGACCAGCTCAGTGGCCCCTGACCCCCTGAATCACCCTGACTCTATGATGGGACGGTTCCCCCTGTTCAGAAGTGACTATTCAGTGTCAGAGAATTTTACAAGCTGGTTGTTAACATTATCTTTCCTAAAACTTAAATTGTATACACTTTTGAGTAAATAAAACAGAAGGGCCCTCACTTTCTGACTCCCTGCACTATTGGGGAGTTCGCGCCGCCTGCTGGCACCAGGTGGAAATGCACCCTCAAGACGCGCTGCTGCCGCTGTCTTCTAGATACCTACCAGGCAGAGGCGCCTCGTTGATTGCTCTAAACTAGCCGTGATGGGGCCTTCGCACTGTGAAATCCACGATGTATACTGAACCAAGGTGATTCCCAGCTGCTCAGCGGGGCGCAGCAGGTCACCAGGCGAGGCTCAACAATGCGACTCAGGAGGGAGGATGCGAGAGACGCAGGTTCAGAAGGCCTCGCTGCCCATCTTCAGGGCCGAGGGCCCTCCTGCCCACACCACCCCGGGGACACGCAGAGCGCCTGAGTTGAAGTCCTTCTCCGTCTCAAACAACCCAGTGCCCCTGAGGAAGCTTGCTCTAGTGAGGAGGCTCTGCTTCTGAGGCCGGGACCAATCTCCAAGTTCATGTTCAAGATTCCCTAAAAAAGAAATTTTTCCAAGTAGTTTATTTAATCTCACTTCCATACGTGCTTCTATTTTAGACGCATAACGAAATTGCACAAGAGTGCTTTCTCCTCTGGACATCACAGCTTACTGACCCGGGCCACCCACTCTGCTCTTAGCAGAGGCTGCAGGGCCACAGGGCCAGCAGGGGGCAGCACGGAGCTGGGAAGAACCCGACTCGGGCCACCAGGCTGAGAGCACAGCCACTAAGCAGAGGATCTTCCTGAAGACCCCTCTACTTCTCCACATCCACCGCGCAAAACTGCCTTTTCAAATGCCAGACTGACTACATTCTACGCTTCCATAAAACAACCACAAAATAACTTCATGCAAATGGCCCCATGCCAGACAAGCGCAGCAAGTATTATGGTATCGCCAGGTTCCAAAATTCCAGCTTTTCCTATAACTGCCCAAGTTAAGAAAGACAGTTAAAAACTACCACTTAGGGAGTAAGTGGAGGGCAGGGTGCCGTGCCCATGGGTGCTCGGGTTCCTAAGGGAAAGCGCTTCACAGGGGTGGTTCTGGGTGGGCAGCATGAGCATTAGGACTTAGGGGAACCCGGAGGCCTCAGCTACAGGGCCAGGGCTTTGACCTCAATTCTGTAGCAGCTGGGGAAGGCATGGAAGAGCTGGACCAGCGGGTGGAATTCTGGGAAACGGCTCTTCTTGTCGTGTGATGCACTTCCAATGTTTTCTTCTGACCACGCCCACTTTCACAGGCACCTGAAGAGACGCAGATAGGAGCAGGGAACAATTACACCATATAATGGCTACTGAGCATCATTTGTGACCCAGGATTGTGACAGGCACGGAGGGCACCGAGGTTAGCATGATGCCAGCCCTGGGCTCCAGGGGTCCTCAGACCACAGCAGTGTAAATTGAGGGAGTATTCAGAAGGCAGGGTATTCACTGCCCAGGGTTAGTTTCATAATGAAAAGAAATATACAAACCGAAAAAAGCCCTTCATGAAACATCTAGGCATGGAGCACATTTGCCACTATTTCTAAATAGGTGAGAGTCAAGGTTGAGCTGCATTCAAGAAAAACCAGTTGTGGAGGGTGCACAAAACTGATCCATCAGGTGGAGGGCGGGAACTTCTGCAACTGAGGTAAGGAGGAGCCGGAGGGGAAGCCAGAGGACAGTGAGTAATGGTACCCCAGGACGCAGGATGTGACAATAAGGGCAGCAGGGTGACAGAGTAGAAAGAGGCAAATGCCTTAAATGCATTCCTTAGTGACTGCAGAGACAGTGAAGCGAGGCAGCCAGGCGGGCAAAGCAGAGGAAAAGATGGAAACCCACCTCCGAGGCCCTTTCTTCCAGGAAGCCTTTCCTACTTAGCTTCTGCGAGTGACTCTCCCACCTTCCAAATGCAATTCCTTTAACACTGTGCACAGCGCTGGCGAGCTCCCACTCTGTACTAATCACGTCAGTCAGACGCCAGTGGAAGTCTCAAGGCAGAGTGGCACTCACCTGCTTCTCCTTCACGCCGGCCACAGGAGCTCAGAAATGGCTAGGAGGTGACAGAGCGGAGGAGCAGATGAAAATCACCCTCAGCACTGAAATTCAAGATTCTGTGTCCTCCGCTCGGCGGGGACCAGAAGCTGGTGAACACCCTGGGCCTGGCAGAGTGCGATCCACAGAGGGGTGAGAGGTAGGGCAGGGCCTGGGGCAGAGTCTCCGGGAGTGAAAGAAAATCAGAAGAATCAATTGCTTTCAAAGGCAGGCTTATTGGAAGGCTTTCAGGTGTATTCCACTAAAATTAAAATGCAAGAGCAGCGAACAAATGCACTCAATTCAGTGGTGAGGCCGAGGCTGCAGGGACAGGTGCCACACGAGGGCGCCAGGTGCCAAGGTTGGGCTGGGAGTGCACCTTGGGGACAGAGTGGTGGAAGATGCTGGAGGGCTTAGGATGCTAATTTTAAAGCATGATGAACAACAGGAATGTCAGTGTGGCCCACTTGCAAGAGGTGACAGGTGACAATGACATAGGAAGCTGTCAAGGGTGCAGGGGACAACGACTGCGTTGAGATAAACAGCTCTTGTGAAGCCCGCAGTACTCTGTAGTTGCCCTTCAGAGCTGTCGGGCCAGGGCACCCAGGTGGCCTCTGTCCCTGGGGCGTCCAGATGTGCTGGTTGGGACATCCAGGCCTTGTGGGAAGGGTGTGTCCAGACATGGGTGCTCACCCATCTGGATTCCTAACTTCAGTCCAGAAAGTCATCACACTTTCCCCTAGTTTAGGTGAATTCCCAGAAACCTAACAAGAGGCTTTTTCAGATCATTTAACCTGCCTTCTTCTTCCAAAGGAGGAGCCAGGCATCCAAAGAGGCTGAGTGGCTGTCTTAGGTCACACTGCTGGGTTACAGGGGACCAAAGAACAAGACCAAACTAGTGTCCAGGCCATGAGTCCTGAGGTCTTCAAATGTTGTGGTTGGTGGGGCAAAGAAAAAGGCAGGGAAGGAGGAGGAAGCAAGGAAACCAGACCTTCTCTCCCACCGCCCAACTGACCCCCTTCTGTTTCCTGGGCCATATGAGCACCCACAGCTAAAGGAGCAGCCTGACTCCTGCTTGACGGAATCAACATGTGGGATTCCTCTCTTTTATCCATTGTTTGGCGTGTTCTCACCAGCTTGAACCACCAGTGGTACAAGCATGACAGTCCCATCCAGCTGCAGGGACAGTCCCATTGGGTGGTACAACCCTCTTAACAGGATGGGCTCACCTGTGCAGGCCTGCTGTGGAAGTCTCAATCCTCTGTGTACAAACTGTAGGGGCCAGGTTATTCCATTGCTTTTACTGTGTTTGAATCACTGTTTAAAGTCCTGTTGTCAGGCCAGGGAGATAGTTCAGTGGTCTAAGCACCCGCCTGGCAAGCACAAGGACCCAGGTTTGATCCCAGGTACTGCATGCTATGCCAGCCTGGAACACTGAGTGTGCTGTGCTAGGCACTGAAACCGGGCCTGGTGATGCACGCACTGGGGAGCCTGAGACAGGACGATCACTGAGTCCGAGCTGCGAAGTGGTTTTGGAGACTGGGCTTCTCCAGTTACTAACCCAGGTGGGCTTTGATCATGTGGTATGTCCGACGCTGAGGGGTTCCTAGATCTCAACCTTTTTCTACATGGTTTATCTCCATGAACTCACTTTTCCACACAGTCTAATGAGGGGAGCCCTCTACACAATACAGGGGTGAAGCCATGGTCAGTAACTCACCCCTGACGAAGGGGTCACTGATCCTTGTGAGCGTGGTACTGGTGGCCCCAGCCACAGCCCCACACCCTGCACTGGCTGCTGGGGACCCGTGCTTGTCTGCTTTCAACAGCACCTGGCAGTCACCATTTAAAACCAGCTCACAGTTCTAGAGACTTTTACAGAACTCAGTACATCACTCAGTGGAAGGCAAGATCGTCCACACCAGAAGCTCAACCTCAGTTTCAACTTGTTCTGTGAAGTCAGTCAGTGTGAGGTGCAGTTGACAGGATAGGCATCATCTTAAGATTTATCATACTGGGAGATGCCACTTGGGTGTATGGTTATCCTTCTGGGAGAAAGGTTCAGAGTTCTCAACGGAAGTCACCCAGTTTTTCTCATGGGGAAAAAAGTATCAGTCAAGACCTGACCTCAAGGTCATATTGATTGAGTTTTTTACCTAGGTGGGTTTGTGGGAGCTGAGTGTGTACCCGGGAATGCCACGATATTCTATTATGAGGCTCAACTAAGTGTTCAACAGACAATATGTGTAGGAAACAGTCTGAAAATTGAGCAAGTAGCCTTGTCCTCCATAATGACAATGCTCTGTGTCACATACCTCTTGTGGTATGGAAATTCCTATAAGAAACATGACAATGTGTCCCATCTTCCTTATCCAGCACTGTGCAGCTTCCTCGACATCAAAATAGCCATGAAAGGTAAATGCTTTGAAACAGTTCAGGCCATGGAAAAAACCACAGCAGAGATGGAGGCATTGGAAGGGAGTCAAGGACAATGTGTTTTTTAGTGTAAACATTCACTGTATGTTTCAATCACCTGGATATTGGTTCACTTCATTCTGAACCAGTCCTACAACATGGTGGGACATTACCATCACCTTCAGGTGACATGTGACCCTACAGCACAGATGCTTCAGGGACTCCCTGAAGGCTGCAGAGGGACAGGCCAAGAACTGTGCTGTGGAACTGAGTACCCGAGTAGCAGTGTCCCCTCCCTAACCACACTGGTGTCCTGCTTCAAGCCAAGGGGTCTGGGACAAGTCAGAGAGTGCCCTGCCTTTGCCACTGCCTCAGTTTATCAAGCCACCCCCACCCCTCCTGTGTCTTCTCTGACACTGGCCTTCTGGACCAGTGAAGGAACCTATGTGTGATGTGGGTTACCTGCTGCACACCCTAGTGGATCCCGGAGAGCAGGTGCCTGTGTGGACAGCAGCCGAGGCATGGAGGCCCACAGCCCTGGGGGCCCAGCTGTATGACTTAGAGCAAGTTATTCAAGTCCCTAAACAGAAACAAGGCCACGACAGCACCTCCCACGCGGGGTGTCTCAGTGACTTTTCTCTCCTCACTGAGACAAAATACTGACATCCCAAGTTAAAAGAAGAGGGGCTAATGTAGTTCACAGTGTATGCAGGTTTCAGTCCATAATTGGCTGGCTCCTTGGCAGGGAGGCACATGGCAGAGGGGCAACAGTTCATGGTGCTGGAAGACCGCAAAAGCAACCACAGGCAAGCCTCTTTGTGCCCCTTACATTGTACCCAGTCCTCCGGGATTAAGGTGAAGCCAATCCAATCACTAGCATGATCCAGCAACCACCCACCCTCAATCCCAGCATCACGTCATGAATCAGTCACACACTCTAGATTCAACCACCACCAAAACCCCATCTAAAACTGCATGAGGTTTTGGGAGGACATGTGGACACAAGCCATAACATGGGACATTATAACATTAGGAATGCTACATATATAATGCACACAATGATGCTGGCACACAATAACCCACTAGTAAATAATCCAGCCGGGTGTGGTGGTGTGCACTTTTAATATCAGCTGCTCAGGAGGCAGAGGCAGGAGCATTTCAGGTTCAAAGCCCACAGCACAATGCAATACTGTCTCAAAAGCAGCGAATGACTTTGATTGAGATCAGTGTATTCAATAAGCGCCTCCAGAGGTCTACTATTCCTAGATGTTGGGGGAAACAAAGCCCTGAGAAGGCATTACCCCCATGGAGGTTTTATTTCCACCAGGGAAGCCAAAAGGAAACCCATGAATGGATTCCTCATGTGACAGGCACCAAACAGTGATCCTGAAGAGCCCAGGGAGGTGACCTCACCTGTGGGAGGCTGTGTGTCCCTCACCATCAGGTTGCTTTTTCTGGGACAGTGGTTTTCAAACATCTTGGCTTGTGTTTCTCATAATTATTGTCGACACCAAAGTGCCATGGCAAACAGAAACGCTGAAGCGATACCTAGGATCTGGAGGTAGATTCATTCACAACAAAACGGGCACAGGTTGGGATCATTCCCAAAAGATCAGGCTCTGATCTGTGGTGGTCTAGGGCTTATATGGGATAAGAAAGCAGGAAATGCAGAGGCAGAATGGCTCAATAGTTGGGGACTGGTTTGTATAGTGTGCAACACAGTGAGCAGCCATTTCTAAGAGACAGGAGGAACCAGGACTGGAACAACAACTATTACCTGGGCAACTAAGAAACTGAAGCCTACCGGCTGGGGAAACAGCTTCTGCTACAAAAGAGCTTTTAAAATGTGGGTGACATCAGTACCTATCTCCCACATCAAGAATTAAGGTGTGAAAGCTACAGAAAGCCACAGAGCAGCACACTCACCTCACCCCAGGCACTATCTAGAACACTTCACGTGCACCTGGCAATGACAGGGCGTAATGAATGGCAAGAACACCCCACCCCATGGCTACCTGCTTGTGGACATCCATGTTCCAGTGAAAATGTGCTCAGGTGGCTGCCAGCTCCAAAAAGCTAATCCTATTTTATTCCTCCATCATCACTGGTGTCTTCTTGCTTATTTTTCTTCAATTAGAAGCTGACAAAAGTGAAACTGCAGTTTTAGAGCCCTCAACGTGTGGATGCCTGTGGTAGGTTTCTTGAGTTGAGTATGACCCACCTGCTTACATTCAAAAACCAAACCCAGATCCAAACCTTAATGCTTTATTTGTGGGAGAAGACTGTCATTATGAAATAAAATTTACTTCTCTATTGAAAATCACACGTCCTGCATCACTCATAGAGAGACTGGGGACTTCATTGAGAGGTGTGTAGCACTGTCTTCCCACAGACATCTTTTCCTTATTTTATTGTGACTTTGAATGAATGCAATGGCACAGAGCATCCTAAACACAGATGAGGTGACTTTGTAGCTGCACTCCACCGTGCTTGGAGGAGCCTCTCCAATGTGTGCTTTGGGGTCCACAATAGAATGGCTTCACGAGACAATCTTTTTGCCAGTTCTTGTTTTTGTAACTAAAGTATTCTACCCTCCAACAGCTTATGACAAGGTAAGCTGGCATGGATTTTGGGTGCTGAGCCCTGGGATCGGTCTGTGTGGGAAAGCAGTTTAGATTTTGGACTGAACGGGAGGAGCAGCTGATGGGCACATAAAAGGGGAGAGTGAAGAAAGAGAATTTCTCTTCAGTGACAAGCCAGTCTGGAAGGGGAAAGGAAAATAAACCCATAGGTAGCAGGAAGAGGTGGTCTTTACTGACCACATACTATGTAAATATTTCATGTACTTTATGCAAATTACTTCTTTCAATCCTCCTCCTCTACCTCCTCCTCCTTCTTCTTCTTGTATTGTTAGCACAGGGTCTACAG